GTGATCTGTTCAACTTGGGACTTTTCCACTTTACTCGAGCAAGTATCTTCGCGACACTGGGTATAGAGGTATACAAATTAATAAGAATACAAAGTAAAACACTTTTGCTGTCGACGAATCATAAAGAAAATTTATTGGACAACAATTCCTTGGTATATATACGAATATATATAATTTTACCTAACCTGTAATTTTATCTGTATTAAAGACCAAATAAAAACCAATTTTTTATTATTATTTTGTTGTATTTTTATTATTATTAATACTAACTTTTTATTATTATTTTATTATTATTTTTATTATTAATACTAATTTTTTATTACGATTTTACAGACTATATGAAAACTAATTTTTTTAACTTTGTCGAAATTTCTGCAACCTCCAAATTTATAATAGTTGCGTAACCCGACGTGGGATCGCGACCTACACTTTGGCACTGGTTTAACTCGTTATTAATGCACTGATAGCCTAATTAACGTTACACTTTTCCACAATTCTGCGCTGGTTAGAGAACAATTTTGCTTCCTACTTCGAAACTAGGCTCCGGTCCTTTTCGGTCATCGCGAAGCGACGTCTCATCACCGAATTTACTTCAACCGATTGAAATTACTTGAACAAGTCTACGCGTCGACCGATAAAGATGCTTCTCTTCCTTCTTCTTCTTCTTCTTCTTTTTTTTATTATTTTTTCCCTCTTCTTTTTCGAAACTCGGCTGTATATCTCGGGCCGGAGCCGCCCGGGAGTAGCTCGGTCATCATTCTCTTCTATTTTTCTCTTAGTAAATCTCGAAGAATAGCGACGCCCAAGGAATTTGTGCTTTCTTTTGTCGAGCGACTCATTAATCACACAATGCCGTAACGTCTGGCCGCCGATCGATCGGCGACCAGATAGCCGCGTAATGAGCTCCGCTGCTCTTGTTAGTCCGTGGGCCGGGTGCTTTGTAAAACGAAACTTATTAAACTGCGGAATCGAATTAATTTCCAAGCTCGCCGCTCGCCATCGAAACAAAACAAAGTCGTACCGCAAATTGCGGTAAATCGTAACGGGGTCCATTTTTACTCTCGCGAGGTGACAAAACAAAAAAAGAGAAAAAAAAATTGATCACGGCTAAGCCGGCTTCGCGAGTAATTAGAGAGGGATGCCAATTGTAACTGCAATCGCAGATGCAGTTAGAAATTGCACCAACACTTGGCTCGAGAGTTTTGGTCATTTCCGTGTGTGTCTGCTGCACTTTTGTCTCGTCCTCCATGATTTTTTTATATACGCTGCTCGCAAAAATCAGGGGAACATTTTATTAAATAAGGACAACTTTCTTCAACTTGTTTCTGCTTTTCCAATGTTCTTCTTTAAAGCTCTTGCGCTGGAATGACGTGTCACGCGCGTCGAGAATTTCTTGTCCCAAAATTGTAACATTTCCTCAGTTTTAAGTATATACTTAGGTAGAACAAAATAATAAATTTATTACTTGTCAATAATTTTTATCCAGTGATATTATAGTGACGAGTTCAAGAAAAGAGCGACGAATTATTGTATACGGTTCGGTCGCTCGTTATGGTCCGCAATCAGTTGCCGGCGCAGGTGGTTAATAATAAAAAAAAAAAAAAAAAAAAATCTTAGATACTTTTGAAATATCCCCTAATCTTTGCGAGCAGTATACTGTTGCCTGGCGCAACGCACGTCAGGGCGAGGCGTTTCAGCCGCTGCGATGAAATTTCGTGGCCTTCTCTTTTTTCTAAAAACCGGGAGGCAGCGGAGGAAAAAAAAGGGACCCGAGGAAGGGGAGAGAAAGAAAGAGAGAGAAAGAGAGAGAGAGAGAGAGAGAGAGAGAGAGAGAGAGAGAGAGCAAGGATGGGAGCGAGAGGAGGAAAAGGAGGATCGCGGATAGGCCGACATTTTAAAAAGGTTTTTAACGAGCGAACCTTCGTCAAGCGTCGATACGAAAGACGACGTAGAGTGGATCCGCGGCGGGCTAGGCGCACTCTCTACTCTCTGCTCGTCTTCTCTCTGGACGCCGCGACGCGACGCCACGTAAAGTAATTAAATGCAGAGAGAGAGAGAGAGAGAGAGAGAGAGAGAGAGAGAGAGAGAGAAGGGAGTGGAGGGAGGGAACACGAAGAGCGGACACGAAGGGCTGCTCAGGATGGTGGGGTCTGAAGGCAAAGGAGGGAAGAAAGCAACGAGGGCGTTCCTCTAGCCACTCCCCGACTTCTCCGCGAGAGAGACCTTGCCGAACTGGAGGAACCTCGAACGAGCCGTACCCTGATCTCAAACTCTGCCTGTCCAAAAACTCCGGGCAAGGCGTTCAGCCTCGTGTTGCAACCAGACTTTCGTCTGTCGCCGTTCAAATTGTTCTCGTTTCTTTCGCTGCGAAGACAGCAGGATCGCGCAGAAAGAAATTGGCGAGAGATCTCGCGCGGCAAAGGCGAATGTAGAGGGACTGAAGTTTTCTTCAAGATGAGAGTATAAAAATTTCCTTTCTTTCAGTGATACTCGAAAGAAAGGAAAATATCGACAATATAGAGGGATTCTATTTATTTTGAGGGAATTCGTCGTTACCTCGATCCGGCCGTCTTAATTATTTATTTCGGTCTAAATTTCTCGTTTCTTACGGGGGAACAATTTAAAAATTCAAGTGATTACTTGAAGGTAAGAAAAATATCTGCGAATAGAAATTTCATTTATTTCGGTCGAACGAACGAGTAAATTCGTCGTCGCCTCTCGATCCGTTCGTTTCCGTTTTAGCTTTCTTTAACCACTTGCGCTGGCAACTGATTGCGGACCATAACGAGCGACCGAACCGTACACAATAATTCGTCGCTTTCCTTTTTAAACTCGTTGCTATGATATCACTGGATAGAAATTATTGAGAAGTAATTAATTATTATTTTGTTTTACTTAGGTATACTTAAAACTGAGAAAATATTACAATTTTGAAACAAAAAATTCACGACGCGGCACGTCATTCCAGTGCAAGAAATTAACCACTTGCGCTGATTGCGGACCATAACGAGTGACCGAACCGTATACAATAATTCGTCGCTTTCTTTTT